AAACTTGAGTTTTAAGGGGTGGTCTTTTGAATCTGACGCGCGAGCTGGTCCGAGAAAAACACGCGTAACTCTCTTAAAATGGCGAAATGCGAAAATTGATGTGTCTGGATTTTGACGGAAAAGTAGTTGAATCGACAGGGGTGAACCAGAGACCACAAAACTACCTTTGGTTCCGTCAGAAACCACCCCTGTCCACAGAAACTTGAGTTTTAAGGGGTGGTCTTTTGAATATGGCGGGCAGCGGGCGCGGGCAGCGTACAACGGGCTGCCTACCTAGCAGGCGATCCGGTCCAAGAAAAGCAGGCGTTCAGTATCTCACTTAATTTGCCCCGGCGACCTGAAATTTTGACGGAGAGGTTGAAAGAGGGTGCTGTCGTACCAATCCTAAGCATTTCTAGCGATTTTATTCTTTTTCATTTTTGGCCAAATTTTGCGAAAATTGGTGTGTCTGGATTTTGACGGAAATGTAGTTGAATCGACAGGGGTGAACCAGAGACCACAAAACTACCTTTGGTTCCGTCAGAAACCACCCCTGTCCACAGAAACTTGAATTTTTTAAGGCGTTGTCATTAGAATGTGGCGCGCAGCGTAGAATGGGCTGCCTACCCCGCTGGCGATGGCGAACCCACCCACGAAAAACAAAACTCACTTGAAATGGCCCAGTGGTATGAAATTTCGACTGAGAGATTGAAAAAAGGTGCTGTCGGAGTCGGATCAATCCCTACCATTTACAGCAATTTTATTATTTTTCATTTTCTGATGTAGTGTGTTGCTCCATGATATTTACACAGAGCAAGTGAAAGGGGAGTCTGCCCGACCAATCCAGGCCAATTTCAGCCTGGATTTTGACAGAGGAGCATTGAAATCACCAGGGAAGACCCACGGCACCACAAAAACATTTAAAAACAGAACTTTGATGCACGCCTTCTCATAGAGTCTGAATAGAGACAAATTGGACCAGCTTTGGTTACTTGTCATGCCAACTCACCTATTCTTTCAAGTAAAATGACTCCGAGACTTCTTTGCTCATGTCAAGAGCATTTCCGGGCCGTGTTCCTGCAATCATATTAAACGCTACTTTAGGCACTATTTTTTGAATTTGAAACACACTTTTAAATGCCTCTCGCCTCATACTCTAAATGACCAGGGTCTTTTAAGTAACTAATTTGGCACTGGACTTAAGTATTAGTGCACATAATATATCCCTCTGCACATACTCCCACATACTCCCAGATACCTTTACCACAATTATTAGGACTGTGCCAGACAGCTGCAAATTTGTTGCAATGCACATTGATTGTTGATTGTTAAAGGGATTACACTAATAGCTCGAGCTAAAGCCCTCAGTTGACTAAAAGCGCGCACCCCAACCAGGAGTAATACATTTTGCTGTTCAACCAGAATAATACAGAGTAAAATATGTGATATAATATGATAATACACTTGACAGTTCAACCATTTGCAAAAGACCTAGGACAGTATTTCGCACACAGCACGTACCCATTTAACACCTTTTTGACAAAGCTTACAGTGAGCATAGCGTACAGAGTGCCTCGAAAAATAACTTAAACTTCCTACTTGTGTGTGTAAAATTGGAGCCATTGGAAACGGACTAACCTTCTAACAGAACATTTAAATATTCCGGAAACCACCAAGCACTATTACTTACGATTAATATCAAAGAGCAGCGCTATGTCTACCCAAAAACTCTGATTAAAATCTTATGATAAATTCGCGTCGGTATAATTTCGGTATTGAGCGTCCATTACGCAAGTAAATTCCCCCTGTATGCGGCGGTCCGTAAACCAACTATTTCTAAGTGCACCCCCCCTCCCCTCCTCCAAAAAAAGGGGGAGGGAGGAGGGGTAGGGTTATGGAAAAGATTTGCTACGACCCACCTCCATGAGATCACGCGTCTCAACGTTGATGTACTTCTTATCCTGTAGCTCGGACACGAGAGACTGCAAAGATTCACACTTCCTTTTTAGTCCCCTAATAGTATCATTTGCCGATCGCAACTTCTTCTTTTGATTTTCAATAGTGTCCTGCAGCACAGCAAGACAGCGGCGAGCCCTGCGCGGCGAGTCCATGTCCTCAGGTTCAATGTCCCCTGGGAACTTAATTCGTTTCTCTTGCCTCAGTTGGGACTGCAGCTCGAGCACTTCCTCTTCTGACGACCCCTTGATCCTGAAAACAGTTTAAAATATTAAAATCAGAATTTTTTAAAAATCGAAATTTTACGGCAACAGTTGACAAGTTCGAGAAGGGGGAGGAAGGGGGAGGAAGGGAGAGGAAGGGAGAGGAAGGGAAAGGAGGGGAGAGGAAGGGAGAGGAAGGGAG